GTTGCCTTACGTTATTACTGCCTTATTCCAACCATGCGTATTTCTCTTTTTCAGTCAGTATGAAAATACTTGCAAATGATTTTGTTATGTAAAATAAAGACAATGCGATATTTTTGACTGGCAAAATGGAAAGGTATTGTTCTTTTTTTTTTTTTTTTTAGGCAAAGAAATCCTAATAAGAATGCATAAATGCCGTCTAATAAGAAACAAAGCCCACTTGACTGTTCTATTTAAAATGAAAGGCAAATAAAACCCATTGGAGATCTCTGTCTTTATCCTTTCCAGAGTACTATTCTGAACAGCCTAATTTTTCACAATTTCCCCATCAGAGACAAGTCGGCAGAATTATAGGAAAACAACATTTCTTAGGGGACATCAGAAGAAGCAACCAAAGTAAAAATTTCTGCAGGTTGGTGACTGAAATGAGGTAATTGTAACAAGGGTGGGGAGCAGAAAAGGAATGAGAGAGTGCTGAAAAGTGCAATCAGGCAGCAGACACGAGTGCCTTGCTGCCAAACCCAGCTCGGTGCTAAAGCAAAGACGTTACTCAGCAAAGAAAGAAAAGTTTGGACCCTACCTTTGTCAGCTGGAAAGTAATGGGGAAAGCGTTCCAAAAATGGGTATGACCTGCACTGCCTATATGGTACGCCTTACCTTAAAATCTATGCATTTCTAACCAAAACAGCTTGGAGCAATTCACATAAAACAGACCCAAATGTTGTCCATTCCATGTAAAAGATCAGGTTTCTGTCTCAGCTCAGCCTGTGATATCAGGCTGTTTTTTTTTTTTTTTTTTTTTTTTAAATATGTATTCTTATGTTTCCAATCCTCCGGCACACTTTTTTCATCTCGGTAAAGTTCTCTTTTTTCGGCAAGGGTGTGCGGGAAGGATTTCAAACTTGTCAGGGCTCTCTCTTTTCAGTACAATTAAGCTTTCACTTGATCATTTTGAAGGCCGGAATGATTTGCTGTGGTCACTGGCTCTTTATTATTAATATCGTTGCAGATACATAAAGTTTACTGCAAGCTGTAAATATGTCAGGTTTTGCCGTGGGGTTTACTAATAAAGAACTCTTAGAGGAGGATTATTGATGGGGAAGATAATCTTTTCAATAAGGGTTCCTGCCTTTTTGTTCCCAGGCAAACACAGGGCACTCCGCGCCAGGGAAGCGCTGACACTCCGCTCACTTTGCTGCAGGCAGTGGTGTGGGGAACATCGGGCATGGAATTCTGCCCCTGCCTTTCTGCCGACCAAATGCCGTTCTGCCTTTCAGCACGATTTTAAATGCCCTATTAGTTTTATTAATACCCTCAGTGCTATAGGTTTGTTTGTTTGTTTCTTTCTTTTTGTTTTTTTTTTTAAACCGTTTGCAACCATAAGGAATTGATTGATCGTCAAGTGACACTTCCAAGTTATTTCTGTAGGTGTCACCTTGTGTTAGAACAGCAGTACTCAATAGAGTGAATACTTTCATTTCTTTCAAATTCTAGCCACGCAATTTGGCTAATTAGTTCTTTTTTAAAACAACAAAAAAGAGGCAAATATATTTGAAACTTCTCTTCTGCCAGCATTTTTCTTTCTTCTTCTGAAAAATCTTGTTATTGAAAATGCATATATTTAGTTGAGTCACAATAAACGTCTGATCAGTCATTCTTAATTCACTCAGTATTCACTGTAATAACAATAAACTGTTTGGTGCTCATCTGGTGTTAATGTGGCTGTCGTACAGTTGCCCAGAAAAATTCGATGTGCATTCACTATTAATTAAATGCATCACTACTAAAGGAGTGGAAAGGAGAAGAGAGGACAGGGTGCACGGAGCCCATAGTATTGGGAAGGAGGGGAAATTAGTAGTGAAGTAAGGCTTCAACAGTTGCATCAAATCCAAAGCAAAAATTTTTCTGAAATCCAAATAAAACGTAGGCAACACAAGCACCTCTACATTCTGAAAGCGTATGTTTGCAGAAATTAGTTATAAATGTACAAAATTATGTCTTCTTTAGGAAAGCAAAAGTACTTGGCTCCCTGATGGATACACACAGGACCTACGCCGCTGGGGGAACAGGGAAAAACCCTGAGGCTCTGCAATGGAACAGAAAGAAATGGAGCAGCTTGGAGGACCTTGGGGCACCTGCATCCATGGCTGTTTTGCTCTCTTTCTGTCCTGGCAGCCTGGGCCTTCTCCATCATGGGCGTGGGGGTGTTGGTGTGCTGACCGGGAGAGACTGCAGAGGCAGGAGATGCCCTGGGAACAGCGCAGCTGCGCATGCACTGATGGAGAGTGGGTAGGGGAATGGGAATGCAGAGCAGGAGGGAACTCTGCAGGCAAAAAAACCCCAAACCTCAGCTGTCATCAGGATAAAATAATGAGTGGCTGAGACCTAGCCTGGGCAAAGCCACCATGTTCAGGAAAGCCTGTAACCTCATGCCTGCTTTTAAGCTAAGGGGGTGTCAAATCAGCGCTGTCCTGAGGTGCAGCAGATCTAAGCACACACTTAAGAGTTCTCTGGCTTTGTGGCCCAGGACATAGAAGCCAGCTGGAGTGGCTACAAGCTGCAGGCAGGAGGTTTCTGCACAAGGTTGCAGCCTCAGCAGAACAGAGCTGTGCCTGCTTAGAACCAGCTCATAGTTTTGATGTATAATTACGAGCAATTCCCATCGAGGTCCAGGAAAGCTGAACAGGGGCCTTGTTTACTTTACCCTTCTTATTTTTTCCCCCGAAGGCAAGCAGCCAGGGTTGGGTTTCAGCCTGGTGGCTGCTTCGGCCAATGACGCAAAGGAACAAGGACTCGTTTGCTCCATTCTGCTGAGCCTGTGATAGTCTCTGGGTACTACAACTTACTCGTAATGTTAATGAAGTCCCCTAACATAAACACTGCTTTTCTAACACACTCCTTGGGGACATGGAAAAATCCCTTGGCTTCAGTTCAGGAAAAGGCCGGGTCGAACAGAAACACACAGTGGGTATAAAGAGAAAAAAAGAACCTGCTTATTGCCAGCCAGGCTAAGTGGTTATTTAAACACAATCTTTGTCTTGCCCTCTCTCCTCCTCGCTGCCCAGCACCAAGCTTTGCAGACGGCAACGCATTAAACTGATGCAGCAGCTTGAGTTCTCTGCATTGCCCTGCTGCTGCTGGTGGCCTCGACTGCCAGACCCATGCAGCACAGGGATGCCTACTGCTCTGACAGACAGAAACTGCCTGCTCTTGTCTCAGGCAGAAGGGCACGCGTTGTTCTTAGCAGGGTGAACCTGAACTGTTTCTTCAAAAGACGAATTACACAGAAAAGGGAGTTCTGAAAGGACAAAGACAATGAATAAATTGCTTTAGCTGAAAGATCTGGATTAAAAAAAAAAAGTAACCTTTTTTTTTATACCTTTTTCTTTTTTGCACTGATATGATTCAATTTAGAAGTGTAAAACTGTAATGTAGTTGAACAAAAAGACAAGTTAAAGAATGAAAGAGGGAGAAAAAATGAATAGCTCCCAATCACTTTGATTTTAAGAAAGCATTTGGAGCTGGAACAAAACAAAAAATGGGCACATTTTTTGTTGTTCTCTTAAAACACAGAAGATCCAGCTTAATACCAACTTAATGATCAATTTCAGCTTAGCCCAAAATTTCAGTTTATCATCTGAACTAAAAAAAACATCTCTTGTTCAGCTCTAGTGCTGAGCTAAATGATCTGCTCAGACCTAGTCATACCTTGGATTCATCCCTCTGAACAAGACTCTCCCTGAGGTTTTGGTGCACCAGACTTATTTCTCATACTGATGAATATCAGTCATTCCCTGGCCCAACTATTGGCATCTGCCAAAGCAGAAAATAGCTCCTCTTCTGCACATCAGCCACAGCTGAAGGCTGTGGTCCATTGGTGGATATGGGACAGGCATTTGTGGATATGGTGATGCAACTGGAGCACCCTGGCGTAACTAAAAGCACCCACAGCTCCCAGTAGAACAGAATGGTTCATCTGCAAAAATCACATTATTATCCAGTGTCGTACAAATCTCTGAATCCTATATAGAGACCTAGGATAAGCAGATATGTTAGAGCCCCCAAGGATGGTCTTTCACTGCCTTGCTGACTACTCTGGCTGTAGGAACAGCCCAGGGTGAGGAAAGGTTTGTTGCCTGATGATAAAGAGCAGAATATGGCAGAGGCTGTCACCAGTCTGAGTCCTCAGGTCCGAAAAACATGAAGTCCTCGTTTAGCTGCACCCCCCATCTCACTTGTCTATGGTGACACTGCTGAACCAGGAGCCTGGACAGAGGTAGGTAGGTGTCCTGAAAAACGTGCCCCATGGAGACAAGAGAATCCAGAGTCACCTGCTTCTCTTCATTGATCGCACATGAAGTGTAGAACAGCTTGTCACACTTTGCTCCAGCAGGGCCACCCAGAGCAGGGTGTGCAGAAACACCTCTGGGGATTTTGAAGATCAGGGAGGGAGACTTGTTACTTCTCTGGCAACACATACCACTGCTCTGTCATCTGCATAGTAAGAAAGTGCTTCTGGAGTTCAGAAGGATATGGGAGATTATGCTGGGTGAGATGAGATTCTGCTGGTGACCTCTGAGGTAAGAGGACATAAAGATATACCTGGGCTCATAAGAGAAAGTACAGCTCAACAAAGGCTCAATTCATCTGCATAGATGGTACTGTGGTATGCATCCAGTGAGTTCAGGCATCATTTCCAACCTGAAAGAAATTGCCTCTTTTGAGGGCATCTCCAATGTAGCAGTGATAGAGCTCTGTTTTCTTCGTGTCTGTGACAAGTTTCATGCCTTTTGGGAAGACAAGTTATGAAATTTATCCTTTCACCAGAATCTGCGTGAAATTGGTGCATTTTCCCCTTGAGAAAGCCCGTGAAACTGATAGCCATCAACCAAAGAGGCCATGAAATTCTTGAGTTTGCTGAAGCACATCAGTCTTTCACTTCAGAGCAAGCGATCTGACAGCACACACAGTGCATTTCTGTGTGGTTTGCAGCCTGCCACCAAAGAAAACAGACATGTTCTGATCAGCTTGAGCTGTGTGCTTCTAGTAGATTTGGCAAGAGAAATACAGATAACTTTCTTTAGAAATAACAGGATCAGACAGATAGCTATTGAAGAAAATCAGTGGAGATAGATACAGTGTATTACTACAAAGCTCAATACATCTACACAATCACCTTTCATTCAATTCCCTCCACAGAAGAAAATATAAAAACTAAGAATATGGTAATCCAGAAGGAGGTGATAGAGATTAGAAAAGACCAAACAACAGTTCTTATGGTTTTTCCTCTTCTCCCAGAAGGAAGAAATGCTCACAAGCTGTACCCTACACCTTATGTTCCCTAGTAACAATGGGCACCACATCACACTTGCTGGTACAATCATTATCTGCATATGAGATATCAATTGTGAGCAGTTGGCAAGAGGATGGAACAAGACAGAGCATTTCTGCAAGGAAAGACTGAATAATAGAGGTAGGTTCTCCTAGGCTTCATAAGCATCTCCTACACATGGTGCAGATCCAGAGTGATGCTGTCATCTGTAGCAGTGATGGTCCTGATCTGCTGCTCCTTAGCATCTGAAAACTCAGAAACCAAACTGTTATGAGAAATCTAGGTGGAAGGAGAGCGTCCAAGAGGAGGAGCACAAGGCATGAGAGCACAGGCACGAGAGTGACAAGAAGTGCAGTGTCAGCAAGGGCAGGTCAGCAAGGGCAGGAGAGAGAACAGATGGGCACTGGGGAACATGGCCCAGGAGGACTGCAGAGCTGAGAGTGGGAAAAGCTGGAAAACAGCGATAAATACATTTAAAAAGGTGAATGGGAACAGGAGGAAAGGTCAGAGGATGAAAGGCAGAGCAGAAAGGGAGAAAGATTTAATTCAAATTCAGGTACATTTTTGATTTCTATGCCTCTCGTTCTTATGATCATTTCTTAAAAAAAAAAAAAAAAGTCTGTAGATATTCTTATTGCACTCTTCCAAAGATTTGATCTTGAATTCCTTCTGTCATGAAAGCCCTCAAACTGAAACTTGGTGCTTCTTGGAGGCAATACTAAGAGGTTGGTACCTCACCTGATGCTGATTTTGTCCCTGTGCTCTGGGGTGCTGCTGCTTGTTTGGCTGGGTCCTGACTGTAGGACCCCTTGTGCTAGATCTAATGAATTAGCTGTATGAACAAGCTGGGTGGTGCCACATGCCTATTGTTTCATAAGGAACTGGGAAAAAAATAATTTATAGGCCATTTTTGGGTTAAAATTTAAGAGATTTCTTCTTTTCCTTCAAACAGTGGGTGACATGAATTTGGCCTGCCTGTAAGCATGCTGGCACTAAGATACAATAATTAGCAATAAGAGATATCTGGATATTCTTATTGTAAGTATTCAATCTCCTCTACGTAGATAACACTAAGCATTAGAATGGAAGGCAAGATCCCACTAAAGCATCCATCAGATCATACTTACATGCAGTTATCACTTTCTATAAGGCTATAATAGGAATCATAATAATTTTAAGTAAGAACTGATTAACATATTTACAGCATACTTGAATTTCAAGCTTAGTGCATTTCCAAGTAGAGGGCATTGCTTAACATTGTTCTTTCACAAATTCTCTCCCTGTGAGCTGGAGAAGCCAACTCTTTATCCTTTGAATCATAGAATCACAAGGTTGAAAACAACCTGTAAGATCATCTAGTCCAACTGTCTTCTCATTACCATTGCTACCACAAACTAAACCATATCTCGTAGCTCCTCATCCAGGCGCCTCTTGAACACTGCCAGGGATGATGGCTCCACCACCTCCCTGGGCAGCCATTCCAGTGCCTGACCACTCTCAGAGAAAAAATTCTTCCTCATGTCCAAGAGGGGCCAAACCCCTCTTCACCACAACCTCCCTTCAGGAAGTTGTAGAGATTTGGTGGAAGAATACAGATGTACTATTTAAAAGTCTTGATTGACTGAAGAAAGCCACAGTCAGATTGTGGCAAAAGGGATCACAAGCCAAAAACACTGGAATGTTTTGTTCTCAAAACACTGCACTGGTTTCCATGGTCCTATTTTCCGCTGTGCAGTGGTGGCTGCGATGCATTCCTCAATGCAGGCAGAAAGCAGCACTTGAAAATCAATAACCTTGGATATTCTTCACCACTCTGACCTCAGACATCTCTTACCTAAGGAAGAATTTGTATCAGTTGGAGGCTCTGCATCCACAGTAGTCACCAGTCGAGCTCTGCAGCCGCTAGTCTAACATTGCCACTTCCTTCGTGTACCTAGGATAAAAAAAGTTACACCACAATGTCAAGATATGCAGTGAATGCATCAGAACGTACATAGACAAGTAGCCTTGAGCAGCAGAACATAAGCCAGCTGAGTATGAGTAAGGTAGTGCTGAACCTCCCAAATTGGCAAAGAAAGGCTCTTTGCATAAGCAACCAAACAATACTGCCCTGACATGAGATGACCTTCCTGTCTGTAGGTTTTTGGAGAAGATGCCAAGGAAAAAGGCAGAAGCTGCTTGTATTCGAGACAGCCATTTTTTTTCTCCCCCAGCACTTGGGCCTCACTCCCACACTGACGTCTTTGCAGACCTCAGCCCAACATCTTTGGGCAAACCTTTACCATCTGCTGGATTTTCAGCTGTTTGAGTTTCCTTATGATGTGGGTGATCATTTTTCAGATAAGACTGATAGTGTAGGATGGGTATGTTATTACTGTGTCACCTTACCTCTGATCATTAAAAAGCTTTTACAACTCCCTCACAAGATTTTAGGTCATGGGTGAAAACATGCGTCCTGGCTTGCAGAACATAATTTGTTTACAGGGTAAGAGGAAAGGCAGGTGCACAATGGGGAGGCAGCAGCCAGCTGAAGGGGAACATGTGGAAGCCATGCAACTCTGGAAGGAGGCCGTGCACAGAAACAGCTTTGTTTCATGAGAACTTTAATATGTTTTGAGGTGCTTTGTTATCATTTCTTCTAGAAGAAGTGATACTGCTCTCTGTCCCTTTGTGGGGGCAGAAGTACGATTTTGAGAGCTGACTGCCTTCACTAAGAAGACAAGACAGTACCAGGGGGTATTGTCTCTAAGTCTTCTGCTGTAGCATTCAGCCTTCAATACCAAACCAAACACCACCTGATCTTTTCATGCTTTCTTATTTTCTTTATGATTTAAAACTTAACCAGCCTCTCAATCCTGTTCTTTAAATTTTGGATCTGGATGAATCATTTGCCTCTTTACTTGGGCCATGCCATAAATGTTCTGTTTCATAGTAGGCAATTGGCCATAAAAGATGAACTGTTAGAAGACAGACAGCCGTAGGCTGTATTTCAGTCAGTCTTCAAGCTACTTAGAACTGTTTAACACACCGTAGCATGAACTATGAATTGATGTGTTTGTTCTGCCACTTAACCACCAGCTCCCCCCAGCATCTCTCAGCCCCTCCTAACCCAATAGCTTAGAAAAATCAGACAACAGTCAATGCTCCTATGTTAAAAATAAATTTAAAAAAGTCTTGTCAGTGGGTTTTATTTTCTCTTTCTACAAGATACTCATCTCCTGCACTCTTCTAGTCTCCGTCTACAGAATATAAAAGCTGTAATATAATTCCCCACAAATGTGAGGAACACTGACACACACAGACTCAATGTATCTGTTCTTCTCCCCCTTCTTCCAAGTGTCCCAAACATTCTGAAAATGAGATAAGTGACTGTGAACGACAGTAGTTAATCCCAGAGAGAACAGTTTATGTAACAACACTGTGCACTTTGTATCTAAGCAGTTTGTGCTTTTCATAACTTCATTCTTGTTAATTTGAGGATTTGCAAAGAAACTTCAAAAGCAGATGCCTTCTCCCTAACCCACCCTTGTGGTTACTGCAATATTCCTTTCTTCCTTCTTTCTTTCCTTCTCTTCCTTCCCTTCCATCCTCAGGCATCTATCTGCCTGAGGATAGAGGAACATAGCACCACAACCCCACAGATGCCTTTCTTCCCTCCTTCTCTGCCTTCATGGTGCTGAACCTTTGTTCTTCCTTTGCAGAGGAGAAGAGAAGTAGGAAAGGAGCTTACGGCATAGTTTAAGTATGTTGATTTTTTTTCTGTTAACTAATACAACATGTTCAAAACTTTGACTTTGTATAAGCAGAGGAAAAGAGAGGTTAGGAAAAAACAATTGTGAAAGATAAAGGAGTCACTTGAAAGAGATCCAGACATGCCGTGCCATTGCTGTAACCAAGCAAAGGAGAATCTTTCCGGGTCTGGAGAAAGTTAGCAAAGTGTAGCATTGCGTTGTGGGAGGCAGAAGCAGAACCACATATGTTAATATCTGCTCTAAACAAAGTGTTGACCTGAGAGGCAAGGCTGGATCAGAATCATCACTAAGACATGGTGAGACATCACTTTGATTTAAGAGTGACTTTGATAAAAGAAATCACATTTGAACTTCAGCTGCAAACTCAGAAGTGCTGTTAAATATATCCAGGGCTATGTTTCAGTGAGCATCCACAAATTCAACAGAAGTTCATCAAAAAGCTCCCAGAGGTTCACAAGGCTTTTTGTCGGAGCTAGCTGTGTGAAACCTGGAGAACTGGAAAATTTTACACAGTTAATCTTTGAGCACTGTGGTTCAGCCAAATCTCTCCACTGAGTGAAATGGCGAAGGCTGGAAGTTGCACAGCCTGGTTACACTCACAGCAAAGATGCCATCTCTGCCTGAGGAGCTTGTGGCTCTCGGCTGATATTCAGGGCCCTTCAGCCGCCTGCATTTCAGAGTTCTTACTCATGGTTAATTATGAATGACAACATTAATTTACCACCCAAGGGTTGTGAAGACAGATCTGATAGTGCTTGCAGGGGGTGGCCCTCTGTAGCATAACGTCAAATAAGGGAAACAAGCTGATCACATCAACACCTACCACAGCCTCTATTTACCAGCACTCTAGAGAGCAGGGGGAGAGAATCGTTAGGGACCATTAATACTAGTGGGCCCGTGAAGTAGTATTGATCAGCCTGTCAGTTTTTGGTAGCGTTTATGGAAAGTTAAAGGGAATTTAAGAAGCTGCAAAGGAAAAAAGCACAATGATAAGATGGAACTTTGCGCATCCCTAGGCTGATGGGACTAATGCTTTATAAGTGTGCTACAGGGACACCACACTGTCAGACCCCACAACTATATCTTGGAAAGGCAGGAACTTTCTGTTAAGCTGTGAGCAGTTCTCACACGAGATTCCAGCTCTTACACTGCATAAAGTGAAGATGTTAGCTTAGATGAAAGTACCTGGAAAAGAGGAGCTGGAAGTGAGATGCAGAGAAGCTGGCATACACACTGGCATCTGAGAAGTGCTTGATAACACCCAGATGTGGGCATTGATGAGAAGGGTACCCAGCTTAGATCAGCCCCTGAAAGCAGCAAGTGTGACAGTAGACTTCAGGGAAGGCTCTAGACAGAATTTTTGTAATCAGTGGTTACAATTGATATAAATAAACATAATGTAGTGAGACAAATAGCTTTCATAGATGGAAAGCAGATCTCGCTAATCTAACAGAGTTCTTCAAAGAATCAGTAAGAACATGGAGGAAGGTAATCAAGCAGACTTAAGTGCTTGATTTTTTTTTTTTTTTTTTTTAAAAAAAAAGCATTTACAAGGGCTAACTACAGAAAATAAACTCTTGTACTAATAGGGAAGGAAACAGAAAAAGAATAGGCTCAAGTATTCAGCTTTCACAATAGGAGGAGGTTACCCGCAGGGTCCTCCAAGAATTCTTCTGGGACCATATGTGTTCAGAAATGATCTTCCAGAAGGCACAAGCCTTCTTAAGGGAGGTGGTAAAATACAGAGGATACAATATGATCTGGGTACTCAAACCAAAAACTAAATGGGAGGATTGCAAAACACCTAGAAATAGCAATCTACAAAATAGGAAATTAAGCGTTGCATAAGTAATCTATAAGAAAAAATAGTCTTGACCAGACAAATCTAATAACAGTCTTTAACTAGATTACACCCACAGAAGAAAGTCAAATACAGTAATTACCTGGAAACAGCATTAGCAATCAGGGAAAAAAGCAATCACTGTGAAGATCTGCTTGTAGGGGATCCTCAGCCCAGTGCTTGGAGGGAAACATCAGACATCAAGGCTGGAGAGAGGAAAAAGAACAGGAGGAAACAAAGCAAGGAGCACTCAAACATTAAGCTTGATTTTTTTTTTTTTTTTTTTTAAAGATTGAAGATTCTCAGAAGGCAATGGCTTTATTTATTTGATTCAGTGCTCGCACCTGCTTCTGGATCTGATACAGCTGAGCACATATAGCTCAGCTGTAGAAATAGCTACTTCTGATCATCTATCTTCCTTTATGAAGTGTTTCTGTCTTAGACTTACAGGGGGAGTACTAAGGAAAATGAAGTGACTTGACCGAGACCCAGGAGCGAGGAGAGAATGCAGTCAAGTGAAAATGTTGCAGTCTATGTCTCCCAGATATTGGCCCAGAGCATGCTATTTCTTTACCCCTGTGGCTCTTTAGCTCTTCTTCTTCATGGCCTGACAATGTGGCAATTGCTTATTAGGAGAATTAATTCATCTGCTAGATGTCAGCTGGGAAGGAGCCTTGTTGTCATCTGTGGTTCCCAGCCCTGCAAACTGCTGTGCAGTTCTAAGAGATCTGGAGCTACATATATGGTTTGTGCTCGGTATGCAGAAATCTTGGGAGTTATTCTCAATCTGTGTAGCTGCAGGCTTGAGGGATGAGAATTTAGTCTGTTTAAGACATATAAATGAATCCCACTGGTGTAAAATCAGCATTACTCAGGTTAGAAATGTCATCTGCTGGGACTTTCCTCTGAAATATAGCCCTAGTCCCTTACTGTGACAACAAAGCCATTAGCCCTGTCCTGCAAGGTGTGTCTATCCTAACTCCAGTCTTTCTACCAGCAGAAATGCCAGGGTTAGCTCCAGATCCAGATCTCTCTTGGCATTTAGCCTATGCTGCCAAGAACCCCTGAGCTCATGTACTGCAGTTGAAAGGATCCATCATTGCAATGTGGATGTGCTGCAGCACTGTGGGGCTCAGCATGGCCCACCCACTAACATACACCCCAGACAAGTTCCACACTGTTGCAGCTACACAGCCACCAGTACATTTGCTAAGTTGTTTAACCCCCTCATTGAAGAGTTGTATACAAGTGGCAGTGTCTGCAGCATAGCAGCCTAGATAGAGGAGCAGGGAAATAATGGCTGACCCAAATGGAAGGGCCCCAGGAGTTACTCTTTGGCCAGGAGCCTGTGGGCAAATCTAGCCAACAAAAATTGCACGTCCAAACTGGGTCCCTGACTTGAGTGGGTGTAACTCACGTGCCACGGGTCATGTTAAAAAGGTGTTTAACATCCAAGACCTCCAATTTACATCGTCAGGTTTATAAGTCTATGTAGGGGGAACGTTGAGGTTGAGGTGAACTGTTCCAGGAGTCTGGAAATCAGGTCAGTTTTTGAATGACTGTGTTACAGCACCTCTGGACAGATGAGTTACTGCTGTTTTTTTCTGAAAAATCAAGCTTACTGTGCCCAACTCACCTACCTGAAGGAAAGCAGAACAGTGGGAAAGCACACCTTTCCCAAAACTTGTCTAGGCAACACAAGACAGGCATTTTTCTCATGATGTCATTGTCCTGGAAACTTTTGAAAGAATACTGTGAAGGAGGAAGCCTCGTGGGTCTGAACTCCCCATGAGCCTCTCCAAATGGGCCAAGCTTTGATGAAACCAACTCATTATCAAAAGCGGGGAAAAACATGTTGGACGTTGTTTACCACTGAGATCACCCTGGTGGTTCTTCCAGCTGCCTGAGGATATTGGTGAAGACAGAAAGAGGGGGAGATGGAAAGAGAGAAAATGCCTGTTTTGAAGTTTCTGTCCTCAAGGTGACATGTTTTCTTTCACTTATTTGCTCTTTAAAACTCTGGAGAGCACGTCTACCCAAGGCCTCTGCAGCGTGTGTTCTGGGTCAGATCCAGAGTCTGAAGTTTCTTCTGGGGAATTTTGTTTACCTTCAAATCTTTCTTTAAAAAAAAAAAAAAAGCACCAAAAACCTCTAGTTTCCCTGTTTCTCTTGGCATTGGAGTGGATAACACTGTCTATAAGAAAGTGCATATAATGTTCCCCACGCAATCAAGTTTCATCTTTCTTGACATTATGGTTCATGCCTATGAGTCTGAGCTCTGCACTGCTAACAGTTGCCACATTCTTATGTTGAAACTCTGGAAGATTTCACAATCTGAGTATGACACGGAGCCCATCACAACAGTAAGAAGTTGTTTTCTGCTATGCTCACCAGAAATTATGAGAAACACAAGCAAAAACCTGCTACAAGTCTCCAGTCATTGTATAGTTAAAAGTCTTTTGCTGCCTTTGAGTTGGTTAGAAAACAAGAACAAAAGGAAGCTTTTCCAATTTTTTGTCAATGTTGACGTGAGCCACAAGGTGACTCAAAAAGAGCTAGGTCATGGACTTATACTCAAAGCAAATCCACAAACATCAGTGAATTTCCTGAGTGAATTCTGTGTCTGGGTTCATAACCTGTGTCCAAACCTCCTTTGGGTTGGGATGGTTTCAGAGTGACCTGTATTCCACCAAAGTTTGAGCATTTTCCAATGAGGACCTAAAAGGTGAGCACTTGAAGAACTGTCAGATGTTGGAAAATCAGATAAGTGATCAAAATGTGATCCTTGAAAACTGATGAAAAAAGCAGATGTTTTCTTTGTGAGTGATCTAAAAAAACCTCTGTATAATAAAGAGACAATGAAGGTCCAGAATTTGCTTATGATTCTTGAATCTGTTTTTCTTTTTCTTGTCGGGAAACAAGAAACAGGATTTGTTCTTTTTATTCCTCAGCAGCCTGAAAGGCATCAAGCACCAAATTTCCAGTGCCCAGAATACAGCCCCACTACTCTAGCAAGTAGCAAGTTTCAGGAGTGAAATTTTAAAACTTTTGGGGAACATAGGGTGGAAGAAGATGTTCGCTTGCATTAAGGAAGACATGTGCCCAAGTGGATTGCCAACCCAATTCCATTGGATAGGCTGGCATCTGTCCAGCTGGGGTTGCTGAAATGGGAGGCACAGAGCTGTCATCCTTTTGATGGACTCACAGGGATCTCACACAGCTCTAACAGAGGAAATCTAGTGACAGATGAAACTTCCTGCTTTGGATATTCATTTTATTTGTGCTTTATGACCACAGATTACTGAGGAACCCTCAACTTACAAATGAGCCAAGAAATGCTACAATAGCATAGTTTTGTATCTTTTTTTTTTTTTTTTTGGACAGGTCTATTCCTTACACTTTACACTAATAATGCCAAACATATTTTATTTTGTTTTCTTGAGACAAAAATTGTTGAGGAAGAAATATCTGTAGCTTTTCTGCTCTGTAATAACTATATATTTTTTTGGCTTATAAGGCAGAGCATGGCTTGATAGACAATATGGTTCTTGTATGCACCAATACAACATGAAAAGAATTTACTTTCCCTTCCTCTTCCCCTTTTCCTTTCCATTTCTTCTCTATCCTTTTGCATTTCTACAAAAGGAGTTAATTTTGAGAGCTTGTGTGGTTTTCATTAGGATCACAGTCTTTTGAAATGTCAGAAGAATGCCCAGCAGAAACTGAAATTGATATAAAAGGGTTGTCTCAAATCACCCTCTGCACACTACTATCTTGCTCCAGCTTAATTGCTTTAGGGTTGGTAAGTGGGAGTGTTGCCTTCTGGGGGAAGAAAAGAAAGGAGAGAAATGAAAGGGAATGAAAGGGAGATGTAAACCAGTTTTCTCCAGTCTTCACACTCTCTTTTACCCAGTATGATTAGTTCCTCAAAGTGAAGATCTTCTTGAGGAAGAGCATTTTGCTTGAAGACTTTCTGGGTAATGAGAATACTGCATTCAGGAAAAACACTGTAGCCTAGGAACAGCAAGAGCATTATCTGACAGCATGAATCTTGCTGGAATGAGGCTGCCCTGAGCAAAGCCTGTCACCAAATCATCTAAGATAGCTAGATATTTTTTTTCCCCAGTTTGACTGGGAATTGGGTACATATTGTGACAAGTGTGACTGGACTGGTGAGAGTGTTGTTATGGAACTATGTATATGTACATCTGCATATACATGCATGCATATCTCTTCAACTGTTGTCTGAGCTGTCACAGAGCTGTTTTCTTTGGAAAAGAAGGAGATTGGATTTGAGCATGGCATTTATCCTGCCTTTCTCTGGGGTCCTTAATGGAAGATACATCCCCAGTTTGCCTGGGGAATTGGGGTTCCCTATCTAAAGGGGCTGAAAATGCCTCCTGAAATGCAGAACTACAGTGCACTGTCGTGTGAATGAGAGTGGATGAATTTCAGCAATACTTCTCTCTCCTTTCCACTGTAGGAATCCAGAGAGATCTTCACCCCAAATTAATGAGGGCCAGGTGATGTTCTGCTAATATTCTTAAACAGCATTTATAATCTTGGTTGAGTTTCTTACCCAGAGAACACTCTGAAACACATCCTTGACTGCAATAACTGCTGAGAATTGGCTTCCCAGTAGTGACAATAAAATCTCCAGTAGAAGGTTCAGCAACTTCTCTAAGTGCCCTTGAAGAAAGAGATCTCTGAACATGAAGACAATCGGTTTGTCACTTCCCATCTCCCACGCGTACCCATAGAGTCCCACTTGCAGCTTTTTCTGTTTCCTTATCTGTATCTCATACTTGCTAGGCAGTGCTCAACCGTAAGGCCAAACAGCTCTACCTGACATGGGGTAGCATCTTCTGATGCACTATGGGCTCTGTATTGTTGGCTGGCCAGTGCTGTCAACTGGAAATTAAGGATGTTCAGCTCCTTCAAAAGTGGGCCTGAACTAAGTTCAATCTAACCTGTGGTGAATGATGTTAGTGTATCTTCAGCTTCCCCCATACATGTACACATACAACTTTGGCTTGATGGCTGCTTGTTTAAGATGGAGAAACAGCAGGCTGATGGTTGAGGCCCAGAAGTTTAGAAGAAGCTCACTACGCTTTTGGAATTCCTTGCAAGTCAACATATAAGAAAAATCTTCATCTGAATAAATATCTGCAGTTCTGCCTATGGCAATGTCATACAGCTCAGCCTTAGGTGTTTCCCCACTCTATCACCTAAACTAGAGCAGCCAGAGCAAACACCAGAGTACAAAGGCCAAGA